TAGTTGCACGGGGGATAGGTAAGAGGCTTGGAGCACGTTGTTCCTCCGGCGGCCCTGCCCCGCGGCAGAGCGGGTCAGTGCGGGACCGGGCTTGGCTGGGGATGTGGCTGCGCCAGGAGGAGAGGGGCTTTGCCCCCCTGCAGACGCCGGAGCCCACGTACCTGCAGGGCGCGGAGCGTTTGCCGAGCGCTGCTTTGCGCTACAGGGGGCGGGAGCGGCGCCCGTCCTGCCTGGGGGGCCGATGGGAATAAAGCGCTTTGACTGAAACGTCTCCGTGTGTCTTTCTCCGGCCGGGCGGCTTCCACCATCGCCTCGTGCGGGGCTGCCCCAGCCTCCTGCATCTTCGCCTCCGTCCTGGACAGCAGGTGTCTGCTGCTGCTCCGGGCTCAGGCAGGCAGAGCCGAGCGGGGGCGCACGGAACAGCAGCTCCTCGGGGGCGCACGAGCCCGCCCGCTCCCGAGGAGCCCTTAGCGCGTCTAGCCAGTGCTGCGCGCGGCATCCTCCTCCGGCAGCGCTTGGCTCCCGGGCTGCTTCCTCTCCCGGGCCTGCCCTCCCGGCGACCCAGGGCTCCTGCGAGAGCGGCGGCGCGGCGAGCTCCGGCGCAACAGGTGGGTATCCCCCGGGCTCTGCCAGCTGGGGCCGGGCTGCAGCGCGGCGGGCGGCACTGACTCGGCGGGTGTGTTGCAGGTCTGTGTCCCGAGCCCGCCCCGCACCTGACTCCCTGGCGTCCCGGGCACGACAGCAGCCGCACGGTGCTCATCGGCAGCGGGGCAGCCCTGCGGCTGGAGAGCTCTGCTACTTTCCATGCGCTGCGCATTCAGGACGGAGGTAAGGAGCGCCCGCTGGCTGGGGGGAGAACCGGAGCCGGGCATGGCCAGAGGCCAGACCAGACACCGCGCGTCTGGGGCATCGCAGGGGCTTGACGCTCCCAAGGGAGGGGGAACACCGGACATGACACCGGGGATCCTCCGGCTCGGAGCTCTCCCGCAGTCTGGATAGGAGCCGGGGGGAAGGGGGGGGGAGAGGAAGCGAAGTCCTGGCGTGGCTTTGCGATCTTCCCTGTCCGCCTGGAGCCCTGCGTGCCTCGCTGGCCCGGCCGGTGGCCAAAGGGGGTTTGCAGGGCTGCCATGTGCCCGAGCATCAAGAGTAGCCGGCGGGACTTAGCAGCAGAGCGGGCGCATGAGTCTCCCCCCTTCCCTTGCAGGGGCGCTGGTATTCGCAGATCAGGGGCCGCCCATCGCCTTAAGGGCCCGCTACATCCTCATTCAGAATGGCACCATCTCGCTGTTCGGCCAGGCCACTGAGGGGCCGGAGGTGGAGAGCTACGGGAAGAAATTCCTCGGGGTGGGCCGAGGGGGGACCCTGGAGTTACACGGCCGGAAGCCTCGCTCCTGGACTCTGCTGGACGCCACCTTGCACCCGGGCGGGCTTCCCTACGGTCCCTACCGCTCCGAGAAGCCTTGCAGCAGCCGAGGCCTCAACCTGCGCATCATTGATGCAGACACAGCCCAGGTGGTGGCCGCCGCTCGCTTTGACACGCACCTGCTGGCCGAGGAGAGCAGGAGGCTGCGGGCGTTTCTGGCTGCGCAAGCCCCGGGCAGGGTGGTGGCAGCCGCAGTAGGAGACTCAGCAGCGAAGAGTTTGACTCTGGAGACCCGACTTCTCCTCAAGGAGCTTCTACGGAGCAGGTACATCCTGCATCTGGGCTACAGGTGAGACCGGCGGGGCTGTTCGTGCGGGGGTAGAGGGGGTTGCTTCCGGGTCGGTGAGGCCAGCAGAAAATATGCGCGGCTAAAAGCCTCCAGTGCTCGCTCTCTGGCCAGCGTTTAATCTGCGGGAGCCTAGTCCGGGGAGTAGCACATGCCCAGCACGGAGCTTGCAGCATGTGGGCCAAACTTGTGCGTGACAGCCCATGAGGGAACCCCGGGCTAGAACTCACTTCTGCGGTGCCCGGAGCAGGCTCTTCCATAGGGACACGAGCCACGTGGCTGTCAGCACTAGAGTGTGTGTGTGTTCCAAGGCTGGGCTTTTATCATTGGACATGTGGCAGGAAGGCATCCGAAATGACTTGGTGGAAAGCTGTAGCGCCACCATGGACAGCTCCCGGGCGTCTTTCCTAACAGCTGTCAGCTGTCAGCTCCAGACTGTAATAGTAACTCCATAGCATCGCAGAGTTCTTGTATTCAACAATGCTTTTTAGTAAGCATGATCGCCAAACTATATATAAACTCATACCCTCCAGCATAGCACACGAATAAGATCAAAGAAAGTCAACTTCTGTAAACAGGAAAAAAACCTTTTTTTCCCCCCAAGCCACTCCAGTTTAAAATGTTAACAAAAACCGTTATTAAGGGAGCTGTAAAGGAGACTACTATATAATTCAGGCTTGCTTGATTTTTAAGAATCATTCTTGTAACAGGGATGCTATATAAAAAGTGTAGGGTACAAGAATGCACTTCTGTCAATATGACCAGACTCTTCTTGATCTTACTCAGGCAGCCCTGGGCTCTGGTTGGGATACTTGGTGGTGGTCAGTTTTCAACCACAGAAGATAGAAAGCAGTATCAAGTGAACGGAACAACTGGGCTAGCAATAGCCAGAAGAGATTTTCAGACCTATGAAGGAATCACTTTTAGAGTTACTGCTTTCAGTGGATGGATAAAAGGTGTGGTGTGCTCTTCTTTTTTTCTGCTATTAAAATCTGAACTATTTTAGATCTGTATTATAGAACTTGGCCATATTCATTGGGGGATCATAAAAAAAACAAGTACTGTCATGAAATAACAATTGGGGATAGTCACTGTGCCCCATAAAGCATTTGAGACCTTGAATTATTTCATCTAAAATTGAGTAGACACTCTGTGCAGTTTTCCAAAATGCACTGGTACATAACAGAAAAGAACAATGGATTGGTTTTTGTTTCCCCCTCTTTCCCCCTTCCCCCCCCCCCCTCACAATGTATTTAAAGTGGAAGTTTCCAAAGGCATAATTCTGAATTTAGTGGATGAGGTTACAAGTTGGTTACCTGGCAATAGGATAGTCATTGCCAGCACTGACTATTCCATGCATCAAGCTGAAGAATTTAATCTCCTTCCTTGTCCTGAATGTAAAAGTAACCAAGTGAAGATTGATGGTATGACATGTTCTTAAGCTATTTCTGTGCAAAACATATGTGTCCCTTTTTAAAACTCCTCTTTAGCTAAATTTTGCAAAACTGCCTAGTCCTGTAAACACTTAAGCATGCAAGCTTACACAGAAGAGTGTTGCTCATTGAAGGCAATGAGACTACTCATGTGGTTGCTGGATCAGGGGCTGGCTCTGAGAGTGGCTGATTGAGTGCTTCTGTTGAAGTACATGAGCAGCACATGTGGGTTCAGACCCTTCATAATGGTCAAACACACAGAAATTCATCATAAGTAAAACTACTACTGTAATTGAATCTTGTTGGAGGATTGTGTATGTATTAAGAACTGTCTGATGAATGAAGATAGTAAAGGTACTTCAATTGAAAGTATTTTTCCACAGGCAGCCCACTTTATCTTCATATTGGGGAAGTAATAGATGGCATAGACATGAGGGCAGAAGTTGGTCTCCTGACTAGAAATATACTTATTCAAGGAGAGATGGAGGACTCTTGTTATGGACAAAATCAATGCCACTTTTTCTCCTATGACACATTTGGAGGACAGATTAAAGTAAGTGACTTTTTTTTTTGAATGATCATGTGCATGTGTGTATTTCAACTCCAGATATCTATTTACTATCCAACTTTAGACATGAATAATGTACAATTACTGTTACATATTTTCCCAGGTACAGAAAGTATGTATTTGTGTGTATGAAACAGAATACAAGCAGTCCCCGACTTACGCGGATCCGACTTATGTCGGATCCGCACTTACGAACAGAGCTTTCTCGCCCCGGAAGTCGGGGTGAGAAAGCCCCGTTCGTAAGCTGCTCCGGTGCCCCTGGTCTGCTGGAGACCGTCTCCAGCAGACCAGGGGCACCGGGCGAGTTCCCGCGCTTCTGAGGCTTTGCCAGAGCAAAGCCTCGGAAGCGCGGGAACCGCTGCTGCTGCCACTTGGGTGCCGGTGCCTGTGGTCTGCTGGGGACCGTCCCCAGCAGACCACAGGCACCGGGACCCAAGCGGCAGCAGCGGGCGGGTTCCCGCGCTTCTGAGGCTTTGCCAGAGCAAAGCAGCCCTGCTGGTCCACGGCGCTGCTTTGGTTGGGGGGAAGAGGAGAGGCAGGGAGAGGACAGCGCAAGAGAGGGAAGAGTAGAGCAGAGGTGAAGAGGAATGGTCCTGACCCTTCCCTGTGTTGGGGGAGGAGTTGCATGGCTGGTGGTCCCCCAGATGGCCTCTGACCATTCCCCTGTGGTAGAACCGCATGTGAGCACATGACCAGAGCTTCTCTGAGCTGCCATTTCCCCAGCCAGAGGGAGTAGGGGATGACATCAGAATGAAGAACCACTTCCTCTCCCCTGCTAGGCAGAGCCCGTGGGCCCGATGCAGCCTGTAACTTGCATTGATCCAGCCTGTTACGCTTGGGATTCCGGACTCCATAGCAGGACAAGCCAGCTCTGGCTTGCTCTGTTGTGGGAAGAGAGAGCCCAAGCCTCGTGGGCCGGATCAAGACATGCCGCATGCTGGGCCATAGGTCCCCATCCCTTTAACTAGATACAAATTTAATCACTAGCAGAACTTAAAATTATCGATAAGGTGAACTGATTTCGAAAGAACATGGTTTTCAAAGAAGAATAAATAAATTAAAACTAAATAAATATTTAGCTACCAGATTGCAGAAAATATCTCAAAAGTAAGTGACATGTTATTGCATATACAGGCAGTCCCCGACTTACGCGGATCCGACTTACGTCGGATCCGCACTTACGAACGGGGCTTTGACTACAGGAAGCCCCAGGCAGAGTTGCTCTGCCCCGGGCTTCCTGGAATCAGCTGCTGATCAGTTTCAGCAGCAGCTGACTTGGGGACGCCTGGGGTTCTTAAGTTGATTCTGTATGTAAGTCAGAACTGGCGGTCAGTTTCAGCAGTGTCTGAATCTGGACGCCAGTTCCGACTTACATACAGATTCAACTTAAGAACAAACCTACAGTCCCTATCTTGTACGTAACCCGGGGACTGCCTGTATTACAAAATTTATTGACCTATTTGCAAAACTTGATCTGCAATGAAATTACACAGTCTTGCTTGCTTCTGATATAAAGGTCTAATATACACTTCTATCCTCCCCTGGGTTAGTTTGTTTTTTGTAAGCCATAGCCCTGAGTAGGGGGCATTGTGAAATTACATTGCCCAAGGAGGAGACTTTACTTCCTTTAGAGGCACTGTGTTATCCATTAGGTTGGAGAAGGGCTTCCCCAAGTGCATCGGCCCTGCTTCCGACTTGACCCCATCACCTTCACAACCCTCTTAATTTTCAGTGTACTACTCCTTTTGTAGGATAGTAGGCACAAGCATTCCCTGGGTTTCCCAGAGCACAAGGTCTGCTAATGCAAGTGTTCCCCTTGGGCAAGCTGCTCAAAGGAACAAGGATCACACTAGATCTTCATGTCTGTGCAGCGAGGCAGGTCCCATTCATATCTTGAGCCACTTTTTGTTTTTGTTTTTGGAAAGGTTTTTAGCTCTTCTCCACCTTAAAAATAAACTGGTTGGATCCTCATTCAGATTATATAAATCAGTATAGTTTCAGTGAGGTCAGGTGGTAAAATCTAATGGAGCTATTTAGAGGTTCTAGCCTAATAGCATTTTGTTTACGATGTAGCTACCAGGAAATATAGACTTTTGGTGGCACCATAAAGATGTTTTAAATATGACTTGTTGCTAGCTGCCAATAGACTTCCCCCCCCCTTTCCTACGGCTGTTACACAAGTGTGCATATTGCCAGGAATAAATGCTATAAATGGTTCATTACTGTTCATTTTGGACACCACTACCCATAAGGTATTTGAGAAGTTGAGCTGTGTACAAAGATGCAACCTTTTGGGCCCAATCCAATGCTGAAGTTAATGGGAGAAGATTAACACTTTGCAAAATCAAGCACATTATTACTTAATGCTTGTTTGAAAATTGTTTGTTTGTTTTTTGCTGTCACACTCTTGTACTGCAAATTCTTTCCTTAGGTCTATATTTGTCTCAATAGATCCAAAAGGATTTTACCTCCGTTCACATGTCAGGAGTGGAATTAAAAAACATGGGGCAGCAAATATTGGGCAGCTATCCAGTTCACTTCCACTTGGCTGGAGATGTGGATGAGAAAGGAGGATACGAATCCCCTACTTACCTTGATAATCTGGCCATACACCACTGTTTCTCTAGGTGTATCGCTATACATGGCACACATGGCCTTCTGGTAAGAGATATTTTACTGACCTCGGACTACTTCCTTTATTTTGCTGAATGATAAATATCTTATAATATGTCCTGTCATGCTTTAACATAATACAATTAAGTATTTTAAAGAATTACTTTTTTCTAGTGAATCTATTGGCCTGATAACTTTAAGTAGTTAAACTTAAAATTTACATTAGTGGTCCTATTAGCAGGTTTAAAACAAAGAAAAGCAAACTTTTCTTCAAGCAGTGCACAATCAACCTGTGGAACACCTTGCCAGAGGATGTTGGGAAGACCAGGACTTATGGTTTTAAAAAAAGAACTAGATACATTCATTGAGGTTAGGTCCATCAGTGGCTATTAGCCAGAATGTGTAGGAATGGTGTCCCTAACCTCTGTTTGTCAGAAGCTGGAAATGGATGACAGGAGAAGGATCATGTGATGATTACTTGTTCGGTTCACTCCCTCTGGGGCATCTGGCATTGGCCACTGTTGGGAAGACAGGCTACTGGGCTAGATGGACCTTAAGTCTGACCCAGTCTGGCTATTCTTATGTTCTATTTGTTGAGGAAATTTTCAAATTCTGTACATTCTATAATTATGTACGATGAGCTGGTGGAAAACTTTGTCGTGATTGCTCAGAACAATCTGTGATAATGTGGAACTTTCACTTAATTAACTGTCATCTTCTTCAAGAACATGTTGAAGTTACTGACATTGGTGTTTGCAAGAGAGATACTAAGATATAGTTGAAGCGTGGAGCAATGGTAGACTAGTAAAATCAAGGGAAAGACATGAGAGCAAGAAGGGCCTAAACGCCCATCACAAAGCCAAGAGAACATGAGAATTTGGCTTTGGGTGAAACTCTGGCACAGGTCGTTGTGGAAAGAGGTGCATTGGAAAACCGGTGACTGACAAGGAAAGTGCCAAGATTTGTTCAGGAAACTTCTCTACAGCATCTCCATATTCTCTTTACCCCTATATAAAATGGCATGGTGTGCTGAAGTGTGGCCTCACTGGCAGGGAAGTACTTGTGGGGCATGTTACCTATGTTTAGTCATAATCCTCTCCCACCCTGATTTATCCATGACTCTCGTGCACTCTTTATGAAATATTTATTCTTGCCCCGGTACATAAAGCTGCTGCCAGCTGGTACATAGGTATATATTAATGGTAGTGCTTTTTCAGTATATGCCCAAGGAAAGGGGGGGGGGCTTCATGGGGGGAAAAAAAGCCAGAATCTGGTGCTGTGCTCATAAGCCCCTTCTGAAGATGACTGCGTTGTCTAGATTGCCTCCAAAAAAGGGTTGATTGTTAGTTCTCCTATCTTTGTGTTTTGTGTTGGCAGATCTTCAAAAAGATGATGTAATAAGTCGTGTCTTCCCTTTTCTTCCCCACAGAATAATCAATCTATATTCAGCCTTTTGAATCTGGTGAAAAATTAGAGAATAAATGAAAGTTGACCTAAATGGAAAAACTTGTGCTCTTGAATCAAAAGTGTAGTTAGTAGGGAGCTGTCTGACTATGAGGTTTCACGTGTCAACTAAATTAGAAACCCAAATGCAAAATCAGGCACTGCAGGGGATAGCATATGGCCTTGCAAAGGCTTTGAGGCCACAAATCAATGAGCAGATAAATATAATAGCTGAATCTGAAAGAAATAATTTTGTTCTAGTTTAATAATTAAAATAAATCTGTAGCTATTCCTCTTAGATCAGTCTGCGATTTCAGAAGGGAACATACATCTCAGTGCGTGAGCAATTGAGTAATACTTATGCATGTTAATTGGGTGTTACATTGTGACCAAAAAACTTTGATGCAGGATTTCTTCCCCAGTTTTATGCTGCCATGAATGAACTAACTGGATCATTTAGCAAAGTACAAGATGGGATGCAGTACCGCTTTGTGTGTGTGTGTGTGAACAAGATGACAGATGCTTCAGATATCCCCTCATTGCATGTGCCATGACTGCTCCATGTCACAAGTCAGCAGCCTCTGCACAGTTTTGGTGACTTAGCCTGCTTTGCAGCTGTGATATGACACGTGCATATCAGTGAAGAAGGCTGCAACCCATGCCACTGAACACTGTAATCATTACTGTATAAAGTTGCAGTGCATGAAGGTCACTTATATTGTATTGCTGAGCTATATATAATTCACTGTTTAGAAGCATCCTAATTATCTGATGTTAGAAACACTATTGGAGCACAAGATTGCTGAGTGGACTGTTTTCATCCCTAAGCATACAAAAGTGTGCTAGCACTGATATCTCTGTGTGATAGGGAATACTTCTTTTCCAAACTCTGTCTTATATCTGTAATCCATGCCAAGATAATCAGTCCTGCCATCATAAATTTGGCCTATTTATTTGGACCCTAATTTTTTTTTTCAGTACAAATGTTTTTTGCTGTTCCCATTTAGGGGGTGGTCAGTATACTTTCAGGCCATATTCTATACTTACCGTGCCAGAGATTGATCTTCTGGCATTCAATTTAGAGGGTCTAGTAAGGACCCACTAAATCAAATTGTGAGGGTGCCCCTGGTGAATGCTGGTACTCCTCAATTTATCAGAAGTAAGGGAATCTGATAAGAGCAATGCTTCTGTTGACCTCCTCTGTGGAGACGGCACAAGGCTCAGCTTAAGATACACCGACTCTAGCTAAGTTATTTACATAACTGGAATTGCATACCTTAAGCTGACTTTCTAGGTCTAGTATAGACCTGGCCTCAATTATGAAAGTTTATTAGGAAGCTTGTGTGTGTTGGCTCTTTTGTTTTTGAAGCCAGAACAATCACCTAGATTAAAAGTAAAATGTTGCTTCAGACACAGGGCCAGCTTTTGGCTCCTCATTTTCCATGTATTTAAAGTCCAGGTTTGCAACCCTCCACTAGACCCATAAAAATCAAAGCATGTAACTGAAATTTTGTCTCTACCATGAGAGATTTACTGTTAAAGATGACTTTCTTTCAAAGAAGAGTATTTGGTCTTTGTATTTATTTTTTAGCCCACTGCCGACTAAAAACATTCTCAGCACTGTTCCTGCCTATAACATTAAATTACGTATCTAGATAAAGCATTACCATTCTTAGGAGGCTGGCAAAGACATGCGGCCCTGTTAGCTCAGAAATGGGCTTAGCTATCTCTGTCAGCAAGGGTGAACTGACTAGCACACTCCTCTGTGCCACTGCTGATAGATTTGTCAGGCTTGTTGCAGCTGATCCACAGTCTGAGCATGTGTTTCTGAATTCTTAGTGGGAATATTTTCAGTAGGATTCCAAAACCTGCTCTCAGTAGGTTGGGCTATGTGCGGTGTATGTGTTTTGCTTGTATGTTAAATGTTCTTGAGGGTGTGTGTGTGTGTGTGTGTGTGTGTGTACACAAATACACAAAAGCTGTTCATTCCAAATTAGAGCTGTTGATTCCAAATTGGAGTGTTTGGTTATTAGAGGAGAGCGAGTGGAATTAATTCCAGTGGTAATTGGCCATACAAAGTATCTAACAACATACAATTCTCATGCTCCTTTCCAGAGTCAGACAAGTATCCTTACAGTATATGAATCTGAAAAGAAGTATGTTATCACTATATCTGGTTTAACTAGCCCTCTGAAGATAGATGAAATCAAGTAGCTTCTTATTTAATCTACATAGCCATTACTCATTGATGTCAGTGGGAATTTTGCATATATTGGGTGTCCCTGCTAGAAGTCACCCTGGTATACATCCGTTCTGCACTAGAGTCAATGACACTTGTAGGAACTGATGTGATATAAGTCCAAGTTGTGTGCCTCCCCTGCCCCAAAAACTGTGCAAATGGAAGTTAGCTGTGGGGACAACTTTTCCCCACTTCAAGTTGTTTTGCAATAAGTCCAAGATATACGTTCCAAAAAACTTGGACTTATCTTGGACTTCTAGCGAAGACCGCTTGTATAAGTGGTGAGTAAATGTGCTGACACATCATTTAAAGTAGAGAGGCAGTTTTAATCTTTTTACTGAAACCTATCAAATTAGATATGGCAAAAAACCCTCAGTAATTTAACTGGTCCTTTTAAAAAATATATATATTTTCAGTCAGGAAGACAAATTTTAGAAATCCTCCCTGAAAGCCTTGCATCAAAGCAGGCTTACGTTAAGTCCATGGTCAAAGCATGTTTTAATGAAATATTTTTGTGCACATGTCCAGTTAATCTTCAGACTGCTGGGAGAATGGACTGTAACCATGGCAGATCATTAAGAGAACTAATAATCAGAAAATGTTGGCAAAACAGCTTATTAAATTTAATAGTTCAAATTATTCTGCATAAAACACTTACTCTAGATATCTTAGAGACATTCCCAAGTTGAGAGATTCAGTATCTATGAATAACGCACAATAAATACAGTATTGTATCAACATGAGTATATCAAATAGAATCCAGAACCATTTCAGATCTGTTAATGGGAGCTTTGCTGTTGACTGCAGTGTGAGGAAGATCAAGCCCTGACTTTACAAAGGGCTAGATTAGTTCATCCTTCTTAGTATACCTGTCTGTGGATTTAGTTCTAGGATTACTTAATGATGCAAGCACTATTCAGTGTGTGTGAAGGTGGCAAAATTGGGCCTAAAGGGATTTGAAGTTTATCAACATGCAAAACATTTGTTTGTAGCTGTTAACGTGTAACTCTTGTTTTGTATATTTGGTTCAGGTGAAAGATACTATTGGCTATGATACTTTGGGACACTGTTTTTTTCTAGAAGATGGGCTGGAGCAACGCAATACGTTTTATCACAATTTGGGTCTCCTTACCAAGCCTGGAACAATCTTGCCTTCTGATCGCAATGAAGCCATGTGCCTCGCAATGCGTAGCAATGTCTATGGGAATTATGTACCCATACCAAGCACTGACTGCATGTAAGTCTTCAAGCCTTTTCACATTTATACAGCGCTTTGCATCTGGCCTTGACAGTACTGAATTATAATACTGAGGTGAAACTAAGGTGTTGAGAGGCTGTGGGGTTTTTTTCCTTTGACGTTTGCAACATGCTACTATGGGGGTCATAGGACCAATTTTAGCATCTACTGTAATTTTCTATTTTTTTTTAAATTAAATAATAGCTACTAGGCAAAGTGTCAGGAGCATAGAGGCTCATGGAGATCTCTGCTAATAGATGCTTGAATCTGTCAGTCAGTACATATTAAATTCCATTCCTGTCACTGATTCTAGTGACAAACACCCGTTATAATATTTTGCTAGTCTCTGAAGCCCTTTAACTGGAATAATAAAGGCTCCATGAAATCTGTCTGATTATACCAGGGCTGAAATGAGCCCCATTTAACAAACATAAATCCCATTCACTTCAAAGGGAGTTTTGTGCTTTCCCTTGGCCATCACTGACGAATTTGGACCTTAGTATCTAGAGCAGTGGTTCTCTACCTATTTACGATTGTGGGCCACACAGGTGACCCACAATACTACTTCTATGATTACATCACATGAATTGCATGTGTGTGCTGATTGAGAATCACTTGGTCCTGAGTAAATTGGTCATTAGTACACGAATACATTAGGGGATCAAATAAAAAGATTAGCATAAATTATAATAAGCCATGTACTTATTGCATGTTTCCCAGAGAGGGGAAAAATCTCATTATTGGTGAGTGGCATACACATCCAAACTGAAAAAATGGTCCATTGTAATATGGGTACTGTTGAGATCCTATTGACTCAACTGAACTTGCTTATGAGAGGATAACCCAGTATCTTCTAGGATAGAATTTAAAGGCCACGTCCTGCTAAATTTTTCCTCTCAAGTAATCCCATTGACTTCATTGGGATTACTCTATATAAATATGCTAAGGCTGCTTTTTTGGCTAGCACAGGTATATAGCAAGTAGTTAGGCAATTCCTGCAAACCATCAGATCCAATAGGAAACTCTCTCCTTTTTTGAACAGTTCCCATGAACATGGATACCCTGCAAATGTGCTGCCCAAGAAATTTGTTAGAATTTTCTGATTTAAAAATTATCAATGTAGCTGCTATGAGTAAATAGGAAAAATTAACATGACTCTTGTGGTGTATATTGTTCATCAAAGTTATTTTTCTCAAAAAGGGAAGTCTGTCTTTGTAAACTATTATATGTATGTAAATTTAATTAGCTTTTGTCTGTGCCACCATAAATCTTGCTTGATAGAGTCCTTAATTTGAACAAAAGTAACTAATATCTCTCTTATCCCATTAATAATCTATCTTCACCTTGCACAGGATGCTTCTTCTGGTATCCTTCTGAATGGATGATAAAGTTGTAGGGAGTTTAGACTTTTCTCCCTCACGCCAAGCTCTCAAGAAGAACAGAAGTTCAATTTCTTTAGGCATTTTCCATATTTTTTTTAATTATGTCCCTAGCAAATTCTTGAAAAAAATGACCTCAAATTTCCTTAAATTTACTTTTAATCGAGCACAGATTTTGTGTGAATAATCTCATATATAACTTAACATTTTCATTATAGAGCTTCATGTATGAGCATCTCTGACATCATTGATGGTTTTTATCTTCCACAAAGGGTATTATTTAAAGGCTATATGGAGTTTTAAAATCAATGGGAGTGTTTGTGCTAAAATCCAATGAATGCTATAAAGGCTTAGCCCTTCCTATGTTACTCCCTAGGATCATTTTGGTTGGTGTTTCTTTTTTAAATTTTCAGGGCTGTCAGCACATTCTGGATTGCTAACCCAAACAACAATATGATAGAGAATGCAGCAGCTGGTGCTCAGGTAATATCATTAAACAGCAAGGGACATATATCACCTTCAGTCCATATGCACATACTACTTACTGATATCATTGGTGTGAAAAGCATTATATTTTTAGTGTATAATTGTAGTATCTGGATGCCTATTGCTGCATAAGACAATTGGGATATTTGTCTGACCTGCCACAACATCACTGCTAGTAAACTGGAAAGTTCTATTTGTGTCCAGACATCACCCATATACACAGAACTCACATGTGATATCAAAGTTTCCTCTTACGTAAAGCAGAAACAGCTGTGTGGCTTTTTCTTCTGTTGGCAAATGTTGACTCTTTAATGGTGACCACTGTTTAATTAAAAAAAAATTAAATATAAAGCTGGAGCTCAACTGTACACCCCAAATAGCTGTATGATTAATGGCATGTTCTAGAACAGTGTTTCTAAAAGTGTTCAGCGGGAACACTTAGAGAAATACTTTAACTGGCCGCCGTATGTTTACTTACCGGCACCACAGCCACAGAGTTTCGCGGCTCCCATTGACTCCGTTTCACTCTTTACAGCCAAGCAGAGCAGCGGGAAGCAGTGGCTCAGCCCACGCTGTTTCTCGCTGCTCCCCTTGGCTGCAAAGGATGAAATGGATCCAATGGGAGCTGTGAGGCTCCGTGGCCTCGGCACTGGTTAGTAAACATACCGGGACGGCCAGTTAAAGTATTTCTCTAAGTGTTCCCGCTGAACACTTTTAGAAACACTGTTCTAGAATCCAAATTTTTGACCATTCACCACCACCACTTCCCCAATGTATGTGCACAGAAAAACCACAGGTATGTGCCTGAGGTGAGTGTGTAAGTGGAGTAGGCTTTTGTAGACAAATGTTTGGCTTTGTATGCACAAAGTGGTGCACACTCATTTTGCAGGCTCAGAGTAGTAAGTTTCTTTGAAAACTTAATCCTAGGTATTTATATTTACTTAGTGCTGCTAGCAAAGCTAAATGCTGAGAATTTATTGTACTGTACCATATTCTCAACCTTTTTATTATCTTTTAGGATGTTGGGATATGGTATATCTTTCACCGGGTTCCAACTGGACAGTCTGAGGGACAATACCCAGAGGGACAGGCGGAGTTCACTCCATTGGGGATATTTTACAACAACAGAGTTCATTCTAATTTCAAGGCACGTAGAAGATTTTTGTACTTTGACATAATTGTAATAAGAAGATTTAGCACTTACTATAGGTAGCTGTTGGATCGCATAGGCTAGAAACACTTTCATAAAGCTGTCCTAACCCTGAACAAGCAATGTAGGAGGATGATATTATTCCTATTGCACAGATGGGGAGCGGGGGCAGGGAGGAGGAAGACTGTGGGCTGTATGCTGCTCTGGGCCACACAGAGGTCTACATGCAGCAGTAAATGTAATGTAGACACAGGGTATACTGTAGTGTAAAGGGAAGAAGGTTGTATGCTACTGTCTACTGCAGTGGTAGGTGTGCAGGGTCCTAGCCAGACCCCTGCCAAATAGCTGGACTAGGGCCAAATCCTGGTCCACAATTTTTTCCAAAATAATTGTAGTAAATTTAATCTTCCCTGGCAGGTAATTCCATTAAAATATTTGCCCCAAATGCATAAAGACGGAACCAACAAATGAGAATCACTTTTCCCATTATTGCTCGGGATTCCAGATGAAGAGACTAATATTATTACTGTATCAAACTGGGGATGTTCTTGTTTTATTCGACTATCCTTTAGTAGATAAAGAAAACTTCATAGATGGAGCAAGGTAGAGTTGTATGTGCAGGATTATTGCTGCAATACTACTATATTGCAATCTTTAACTTTGCTTCACTGGATCACATTCTACTTTGATTGTAAAGAAATTGCAAGTCTAAGAGGAATTAAGGCTTTTAATTTAAGGAATTGACAGGAGCACTGTTCCCTCTCTGCAACATTAT